CACGGGCTCCTACCGGAATGACTACAAGGGGTTGGTGTTGCAAGGTCAAAGCAAGGCTCGCTACTATTATGGCCACACACTACTATGACGATGGAAAACTAGACGATGCAACAGTTGTCATGGATGTGCCCACGCATCTTTGCTCCTTCACCGGCTATGGTTGGAGCTGCGACTGGCAAGCCACAATGCTGCAACCTGCGACAAAAAAAGCTACGAACAGTTAGCCAATGGAGAAGCCGTGACCCCCTGTTGACGGAGTTGCGACCAGCCAACGGAAAAGTTGCAACCCCCGTGGGCGGAGCTACGGGTAACCAGCGGAGAAGCTGCAACCACGTTGCCCGCGAGCTATGATAAAGACGACTGTGGGATCCGACGGTGCTGGAACCAGCAATGGGCGTGCTGAGACCAGCCGACAAAGAAGCTGTGAAGGCCGTGTCCTGAGCTGCAACAACGACGACTGTGGGATGCGATGGTGCTGGAACTAGCAGCAAGGATGCTGGAACCAGTAGCATGGCGTGCTGTGACCGCATGATCCGACCGCGCGGTGGGGATGTTCGAAGCAATAGCCGGACATGCTACGACCGGCAGGGGCAGGAGCCGCGATTAGTTGCATCGGATGCTGGAACCAGCATGCCGTACACACGAACCAGTATTGCGGGAAGCTGCGCTGGACCTGTGATCGGTGGCGCAGGCATACTCGAACTTAACACCTCTTTTTTTTTTGAAATTTTCATGATTTTGAAATACGAACCAGTGTTGGGGATTCTGCAAGAAGCATGTTGGAGGAGTGACTGCGAGGGGGACATCGTTCAACATCGGCTAGTGGGACGAGCGTGACAGTGCAACTGTTGTGACGAGTATTGACGACGACTACCGAGGGTGCCGGGAGACGGTGCTGAGCCGCAGCGTGGGCAGTGGGTATTGCCGCCATGCTCACCAACGCGCACGCACGTCTGCGGCGTGCAGTGACTAGCGGCCATTGAGATTTCCTCTTGCGGGGATGATAGGGTGGATTTTTTTTTCGATAGAAAAGCTCCACACAAGCGCATCCGATGATATTTTCATAATCAGTTTCATCAATATTATAATTGTTGTTATTTTCTTATATATGTGGTCAACTTAGAAACGGTTTTCACAAAAAAAAACTTAGAAAGAGTTGAGTTTTTGACTCATTTTATACGCCATCATCAAATTGGGACAGAAGGAGTAATTAATTATATCGCTACAGCATTTTCCCACAATTTTCTTATAATCGGATAGAATTAGTCTGGGTAAGAACAGTCGACGTAGCCTTGCGTGCCCTAGGCCGGTCACACCCGTCTCTTTCGAGATAATGCACATCATCTCGGTTGGTGTACATGAGATGAGACGAGGGCCACAGTGCATCCTAACTTTTGACGACTGCATAAGTATTCTTTGTGTTCTCCCTTTTCTCTGTGCAATGCAACTGTGGCCGCACGGGATCACTGAACTAGGCATATGTGACAAGAGCCGTACCTCTGCTTGCATGAGGGAATCTCCTTTCTCTTACTCAATTTACCTCTACAGCATCCTGTCAACGACAAGCACTGATGGACTATGGCGGAGGTGTTCACGTTTAATGGCTACTCCAGCTTTAGCCCATGCCACCCACGAGTACACAGTAGCCTTGCCCTAGGTTCCAGGGGGAAACATCCACAAGCCTTGATGGACTAGGGCCGAACCTGTCCACGACAGCTAGAGTCGAGAAGGGGCTGTAGCCACCATGAGTCGATGCCGCCCACGGGTTCCGTCGGCAGACCACAACAAACACCAAGATTGAACTGGGAGTCAGTCGTGGGCCGTGGCCACGGACTAACAGTGCCAAACCACTCGCAGCACGCATGCTTACGACGCGCGCGCACACGCTATAAGATGAGATGCACCGCCCAGCAGTTTTCGCCAAGAACACTTGCGAATCACTTGCATTCCAAACAAGGCTTCTTACCGAGTAGCTGCGTTCGTGTAGTACATAGCATAGCAGACCACCGATGAATCCATCATCCATGGAGAGGTGCTGCCTGCTGCTCCTCTTCGTGGCGTTCCTCTGGCCGGCGGCCAGCGCGACGCCGTGCCACCCTGACGACCTCCGCGCGCTGCGGGGCTTCGCCGGGGAGCTCGGCGGCGGGGGAGCCCTCCGCACCGCATGGTCCGGCGCATCGTGCTGCGCCTGGGAAGGTGTGGGCTGCGACAGCGCCAGCGGCCGCGTCACGGTGCTGCGGCTCCCCTGGCGCGGCCTCGCGGGGCACATCCCAGGAGCCTCCCTGGCGGGCCTCGTGTGGCTGGAGGAGCTCTTCCTCGGCTCGAACCATTTCGAGGGCGTCATCCCAGACGAGCTCTTCGGCCTCGTCAGGTTAAGGAAGCTCTCCCTCGCATCCAACGAGCTCACCGGCGAGCTGAGCCCACGCCTCGGTGAGCTCACACACCTTACCTTGTTGGATTTGTCCGCCAACCGCTTCTTCGGCCCCTTGCCGGACGTGTTCCGTGACCTCACGTCGCTAGAGCATTTGGCCATGCATTCCAATGGCTTCTCCGGCTTCTTGCCACCGTCTCTTTCATCACTATCTTCTCTCCATGAGCTCAACCTCAGAAACAACTCCATGTCCGGTCCGATTGCTCGTGTTAGCTTCTCCGACATGCCACTTCTTGCGTCGCTTGACTTTTCCACAAACTCCCTGACTGGGTGGCTCCCGGCTAGCCTCGCGAGCTGTGGTGAGCTCAAGTCGCTCAACCTTGCCAACAACATATTGGTCGGCACCATCCCGTCGTGGATTGGTGAGTTTGACAACCTTTGGTACTTGAATCTCTCAAATAATTCATTTGTTGGTGAGGTACCCAAGAGTTTGTTACGGCTCAATGGCCTCGCCACCGCGGGTCGCTCATCGGGTATGGTTTTCATTAACATGCCCTCTTTCGTAAATCACGAAAGAAGAGCACTCGATGAACAACCAAATACCATAACTGGGACCAACAACACTGTCAGATCTGGGCGCAACAACACCATGTCTGGGAACGACAACATTGTCATGTCCGGAGACAGCAACACTGTGTCCGGGAGCTTCAACACCCTCGTATGTGGAAACAACAATATTCTAAGTGGTGACCACCATGTTGTATCTGGGAGCAACCATATTGTAACTAACAGTTTCAATAAAGTGACTGGGTGCACCAATAACGTATCTGGGAGCAACCATACTGTATCCGGGAGCAACAATACCGTAACTGGGAGCAGCAATACGGTATCTGGGAACAACCATGTCGTGTCTGGGAGCAACAGAGTCGTAACCGGAGATTAATGACCTGTTAGTGGACTGATTTCATCTACAAGTATGAGGTCCCAAAGCACATCTAAGAGAGACTCGTGAAGAGAAGAATAAGAGGTTCTCCGGTCTGAACTGAAAATCTAGGTCGATGGATCCCCTAGCTTGTTCCAAGTTTGGGGAGGCTCCATAAAGACCTTCTGTATCTTTACTGTTTGTATCCCATTTCAATTTCCGCACCCATATTAGTATGTATTTCCGTAATTGTAATATTAGTGTTATCTTCAAGCCTATCATGAGAATTAGTATATCCAATGATGAACTCGTCGTTTTTCGATGAATGTCTTTATTACAGCTTATGGTTATTGTTATTTGATGTGTTAATCCGGTTGAATGATCCCTTGTTACTTTTTAATTGGTCATGGCCGATGGATGCAAATTGTGAGGTGGGGAAGTGGGTACGGCCTGGAGTTGGGTTAGGATAAGCTCATGCTGCTAGGTTACAACGCATGGTTCATATACAGATGGGTTGGGCGTTAGCATGTACCCACCTGCACGAGCTGCACTTGCATGAGCCCCCTGCCCGGAGGTACATGCATGCTGCTCATATGACTTGACAGGCTTTGGCTGCATGCCTCCCTCCCTCCCCTCTATCTCATGTAGTCATGTGATTCCATGCATGGCCTTGACTGGCTGCAGAGAATCATTGCTTCTTTATTTTGTCCTTTTTTCTGCTCCTCCTCCTCCTCGTGCTTTCTCTCTGTGTACGTGACATGAATGCACCTATGTCCTTGACTGGCTGCCGAGAATCATTTGGAATATCTCAGTTGGTGCCGCTGGCAAACAAACACGCCACAACCGAGATGGCTCCAAGATTACCGATTTGCCCTGCGAACGTATGTGGATCACGCTATCAATAATTCAACACACACTATGGCGAGCATAGGGTTATGGCTCCCAGCACAGATAAAGAGAGATTGGATGTGGGTCGGCCACTATAAGCTTACATGATATAGCGAGGTTTGACAATGCAACACTTCCATTCTCATCAAATTCCTCGGGATCGCATCAATGAAGGGTTGTGAAGCAAATAAATTTGGGGTAGGGTCCAGAATCCTGAGTCCCGGCTTGTAGAATTTGCAGTTGAGCTTGCCAACGTGTATAGGCCACTCGTAGTAGGTGCAACAGAGTGCATGAAAGCGCTAAGACAACCTGACGGTGAAGTGGCTCATGACATGGTTGATCCTGGCAATCGTCGAGATCTGTGTGCACCACGCACCTTAGCTAGGTTGCGGGCCTTGACGCTAGTCGCACGCCTGGACGATGCTGACTCGTGTACATGGATGGGTAACCACAATACACTATGCCAGTGCTACTGATTACCATGACTCCCAGGACGAAAGAGAAACATCGTGCCAAGCAGGATAGCGTCGGCGACAGGACGACAGTAGGTATTTGCGGTTTTTAATTCAGCATCTGCTGCCTTATCTACGTGCGAGAATTGATCGGAGCAGACTTGCCAAAGCAGTCAAGCATTATCCATTGATGGAGAAAAATTATGTGGGAAAAGTTGATGAAAACTTGAGCAGGCAATCACGGGCATGCATATTCGTTTATTATTCCTTGCTTGTGAGGTCAAAAAGGCATGCAAGATCCCCGTAAAAAAAAATCCACATGCAGGAATGTATGGAAGAGGTAAACATGGTCAAGTTGGTTATTTATTTTTAGGTGAGAGATCTGTTCCTTTTTTTACGTGCATGCATGCGTAAAAAAATCCATAGGCATGCAGAAATATATGATAGAGGCATTAAACGAGGACAAGTTGGTCACCTCTTTTTTAGGTTAGTGATCTTCTTTTCTTTGACATGCATGCATATGAGATCTAAATTATAAATCATGTGCATCATGTTTATGTTACTTGACGTGTGCGAACCAACCTGGATGGTTAGAGGGACAGTGGTATCCATAGCTCATTAGGGTTCAAGTCCTGCTGCTTGCATTATTCGTGGATTTATTTTAGAATTTTCGATGATGTGCTTTCAGTGAGAGGAGACGTTCCCGTCGACGATGGGCGCCTACGGTGACTTCGTAAATCTCAAGATGATATGCCGACTCCTTCTCTCGAAGGTGCTCATAGAGGTAGGATGTGCGTGTGTGTTTATAGGATTGAGTGTAGTACGCGCGTATATATATGAGCACTTGCTTCTGTACTGTGTTAAAAAAAATGTTACTTGATGTGTACATGTGTCAAGTTTTTTTTTGAGGGGCAGTGTCAAGTTGTTTTGGATCCACTACATTGTGGTACACATGTCAAACCGTTAGAGAATAAAAGAAAGGGCACTACTATGCGCCGGTGCGCTGGCACAACGATTCAGCCGGTCAACCAATGACCGTACGATTTCTATGCGATACATTGACTGCTAGCCATCGGATGTGCTTCCTTGCTTCGTCCGTCTTCTTCATCCTCTTCCTGAAAATACTGCACGGTCGCACATGGAAGCGAGAGGAGGCTGCAGCGCCGTCGACCCCGCCGTAATCTCTCGCAGGCGACCGAGTCCGAAGCACCGCTGCAGACCCCGAGCTCGCCGCTGCTCGCCGCCCTCACACAACCTACTCGCGCTCGAAAAAATTCGATCTATGGAGCTTGTAGCACGAATCCTCGCCGGTTCCAGCATGAAAAAGCCTCATCCACAGCATCGCAGCTGCCGCGGCGTCGTGATCCTCGTCCCCGGGCAGCCGTTCGTCGCCGCAGCTGTGCTTTTGGAGTCGCCGCAGGTCGCAGCTCGCCATGAATGGACGTAGCAAAAAATATGGCCAGTCGTAGCAAAAATCTACGATGCTTGCAGCAAAATCATCGCCGTCGCCGTGAATGATCGCAGCTCCGACGTGAATGGATGTAGCAAAATAATTCGTCGTACGTAGCAAAAATCCATGATGGTTGCAACAAAATCTTGTCGCCGCCGTCGCGTGGTCGCAACTCAGCCGTGGATGAATATAGCAAAAAACCTTGTAGGTTGTAGCAAAATCCGATGGCGGTGGCAGCAGAAATCGTCGTCTTCATTTGGTTCCAGCAAAAAAAGTATCGGTTCTAGCATCCCTCGTCGCGGGATGTAGCATCTCGCGCGGCGGTTGCAACATTCAATAAAAAAGGTGAAGCTCTGTATCGGACATCCATGTTGACTGTTTCATCGATGTCTCGGATGCTTAGGCTACCACAAAGATGACTCAAAACCGGTGTCGCTGGTTGTAGCTCGCCGTTACAGGTAGCAACATTTGCATTCTAAAGACGAACAGATGTAACAAAACCTGTTGCCGAACATAGCAAATACCTACGACGGTTGCAGCAAAAAGTCATCGTCGTCGCCGTCGCGGTTCGCAATTCGGCCGTGATGGATGTAGCAAAACGTTATGCCGGTTGTAGCAAAAAGCGAGGCTAGTTGTAGCAAAACCGCGACGCCGACTGTGTGTTGTAGCAAAACGCGACACTAGTTGTAGCAAAACCGCGACGCCGACCGTGTGTTGTAGTAAAACGCGACGCTAGTTGTAGCAAAATGTCGTGCCAGTTGTAACAAAATCTATGCCGGTTGAAGCATGTAGCAAATCTATGCCAGTTTTGCTAGGAGCAGCACCGCCTCGTCCTCGCCGTCCAGTGTGTGCGCGTGGTTGCAGGCTTGCAGCAATGGCTATGGTTGTGATTCCGCTGGCTGGAGGAGATGCGGCATGGCTAGAGGAGATCGTTGGTGGATGGCTCTCATGGAAGATGTGTTGCTGCTGGAGAAGAAGAAGACCGAAGACGCGGGTGGATAAGGGGATGAGAAGATAAGGCATGTGCGGTTGGCTTTGCTCAGGAAAAAAATAGAAGCAACTGGACAGGTACGTGTCTTGCGGGGTGCTACATAGATGCTACGTGGGCTTTGTACATGGGCCGCACCGAACGAGACGTACGAGTGGGAGGCAACCGGCCGAGGCTTCGGCCGGCGTCTCGAAACGCTTCCCTAAAAGAAATAGATGGCCCATCCAATCAAGGGGCAACATTATATGATTAACATATAATTTTCTTGCATATTTCTCTTTCTTCTGATTAACCTGTCGAGTACTTTTAATGTATAAAAAGGTAGATGATATGTCGCTACTGATTTATCATTAAAATTATAAAATAGACATGATCAATAAAAGTCCGTGATCTAAAATTAAAGCTCCATCAAGGTCTCTCAGAGCCAACATATTAAGATGCACTCTTCATATCATTCGGAGACATAACTCTTCCACAATAGTGTCAAACATTTGCTCCACAAAGTTATGAAAGAACAATACAGAGTCCGGCCGACTACATCACCAACCCAGAGCGATTCGTGGACGCATTGCGATGGTTCGACGTGATGGCACATGTTGGTTAGGTATTTGATACGTACCGCACGGCAGAGTCATCCATCGTCGTTCGACGTTCGCTGCTGCATGCATCATCATGTACCAACATGTCCACACCAACACGTTAGAGCATCTCTAACGGTAGTGTGCAAATTTCCTCCCGCATTCGTTCGTGGACAGATAGATTAGTCCACAGACACGGATACGGAAGGACGCTATCTAACATTGCCCACATATATTTTCAAACACTCTGGCAACAAACCGGATAAAATCCATGCAAACACGGTAGATTTCATACATACTGGACGACATTCGTGCAAACACGATGAATTTTTGTTTGATTTCGAACATTTAGAACCAAAAAACCGTTCCAACCCGACCCTAAACCTATCCTATGGCGACGTCCGGAGTCCAAGCCCTCGCCGTTCTTCATCCGCCGTCTCTATGACCACTGGCGATAAGACCGATGACATGAAGTTGCAGTCTCCGATGAGGAAGAGTAGAACAAAGGAGACGGACCGGCCCACATGAGACACAAGGCCCTACTGCCTCCTGTGCCCTACTCATCCTCAGAGGAGCTTGCGCCTTGTCCGTCATTGGTGGACGTGAGGTCCACGATGCAAATGGTGGTGCCTGCGTCGTCGTCGTCCTACAGGGCCGCCCGATGC